GGGTAGACTGTGAGGACCTCTTGTTGATTAGGATTACCAAAAAAAAAAAAAAAAGGAGGAAAGCTGGTGAAAGACAGCTGATGCACGGACTTCAAAAAAAGAAAAAAAAAAAGAAAAAGGAGAAGCCTCTGGGGCGCAGTCTCAGTAGGCAAAGAGGATAGGATCTGGGCTGGTTTGTGCACAGGTGCAGAGAATCGCGACTGATCTGCATTTCTGCATCTCAGCATAAAACGCATCCAGATTCAGACGCTTAATCCCATCCTTTATAGTATAGTGGGACTGCGCTCCTAAGGAACAACATGCATCCAAAAATACACAGAGGAAAAACATCCTGATTGCAAAAAAAAAAAAAAAAAAAAGACCTCCTGATGACCTCAGCCTCGTCAGCACCAGGCCAGCATGACGAGCCTTTCCCGTTCATCGAGTGCTGATGCTTGTTCTCCCCACTCTCTCTCTCTCTCTCTCTCTCTCTCTCTCTCTCTCTCTCTCTCTCTCTCTCTCTCTCTCTCTCTCTCCCTTCGGGTTCATAACTTCATTCGGAATTACCCCTCTCTCTCTCTCTCTCTCTCTCTCTCCCCGCCGCATACGTGTACACTTCTGTGTTGCGACAGCATTTCAACTCCACGCACGAGACTGGCTGTGTGCGTGCGACTGTTCCGTCGCACATGCGTATGATTTGTCTGTCTGTGTGTGACTGCCCCGTCGCACGTCTGTGCGAGACGTTCGCACTAGTAAGGCCGGTTGTCGCACTGGTTGCTCCCAGTATCACTTTGTGATTTGTGAATGAAGACAATTGAAGGAGAAGGCAATCATCAATAGAAAATTGAAACTCCCAAACCGATGTCGGTATCCGCATATTCCCACCGATCTTTGTAAAAAAAAAAAAAAAAAAAAAGGATGTATCCACAAGATCTGCTAGAAGCAAAACTTGCGGCCTCGCCACACCACTCCCGGAATGTGCAAAATGGAGCATGTATCTTCCCCAAAACCACGGAAATATACACGCGCCATACGTTTTTGTCTGTTTCACATTCGGGGAGCGGTGTGGCAATGTCCGTATGCACGCTTGAGAACACTTCAACGACCGGTGGGATAAAAAAAAAAAGAAAAAAAGTATAATAAAAAAATGGCACCTCGGTCGGTTTCGACTTATACAAGGCTCCTATTTTTCCTTTTTTTTCCTTTTTTTTTTTGTTGCAAGGTTCCTGTTCTTCTTTTTTTCTTTTTTTTTTGGAAAATTCCGGAAAACTTGCATTTTAATTTTTATATTAAAATCGAAACAAAGAGAGGCCGGGGACTTATGCAAGCTTCAGATCGCTTTGTTTTTTTTTGTTTTTTTTTTCCACCTTGGTAGTGTCTTCTGATCAGTTTAATATCTGATACTTTAAAAAAAAAAAAAAAAAGTTTTTTATTTCTTTCCTTCCGTCGTTTTTTTTAATATTAAAATCGCTAAGGCTGTGAGCGCTGATGCCAACCTTTTTGTGTATTCCTTCAGATTTTTTTTTTCTTTTTTTGGGGCGGGAGGTGGAAAAGGAAAAAGGAAACCTGAGAAAGGAAAAATAAAATATAAGGGGAGAGAGTATGTGTCCTTTAAAAAAGTTGGAAAAGTTCTTAAAAGCCTAATTAGGAAAGTGAGGAAGAGAAAGAGAGAGTGATCCCCCCCATCAGCACGGGTGCCTGCAACCGCTGTCTGCTCAGGTCACCTACACGTAGCCGAGTTGGTGATGGGTGATGGGTGATGGGTGATGGGTGATGGGGGTGATGAGGGTGATGAGGGTGATGGGGGTGATGGGGGTGATGGGGGTGATGGGGCTGGATGGTCCACACTAAGGTAGGACAGAGGGGGTGGGGGTGCGCCGGGGTAATCGATCAGAGGAAGGGTGGACGTAGGTCTTCTGAGGGGGGTTACAAAAAAAAGAAGAAAAAAGAAAAAGAGAGAGAGAGAGAAAAAGAGAGAGTGATGAAGGGAAGGAGAAGGAGATGATGCCCCCCCTTTTTTTTTTTTTGAAAGATGGCTATTATATTGCGAAAATCATAGTTTTTGTAAGGAACGCGGGTCCGGTTGAGCGGATTTAAAAAAAAAAAAAGAAAAAAAAAAAAAAAGAAAGAAAGAAAGAAAGAAGAAAGAAAGAAAGAAGAAAGAAAGAAAGAAAGAGAGAGAATTGTAACAATTGTTTGATAAAAAAAAAGAAAGAGAGAGAGAGATTGAAGGTTGAAAAACGTTAGTAAAAGAAAGGAAAGGAGAAACGTTCTGAAAATATAATTAATAAAGTGGTTATCTACGGAATTTTATTTTAAGAGAAAAAATGACGAGTCAATTTAAATATTTAAATATAATTATTTTAATTTTATTCATTAATTT